GTATGTAAGTTGTACCCTGTACATGTACCATGCTACAGAGTCAATTGCAGATACATGTACCTACAATGTATGATGCACTTGTAATGTACAATGTACATAACCATACATGTACATATAGTTTCCCACTTAAATTGATATTTTAACACCAATGCAGTTAAATTAACCTTGACCCCCAAAAATGTACACATACTGTACATTACGTACCCGTACATGTAATGTATGACGTGCGTAGCCAGGTAGAGTCCACTGTAGAACCAACTATATGTACATGTATTTTGTTCACACATGTAGATACTGTGCATTATATGGGGCCGATGGGTAACCCTCCCCCCACACACATGTCCAATCCCTATACACACTCTAGACTATTGTTACCAAACACATCCCCCCAGAAGTTTGTAAAGAATTCCTGAGATTCTGGTCAAACAATGACCAACACAAAGGCGATGAGGGGGGTTCTCTCCGCCCCATATCTTGCGTCATATGCACATGTACCGGTATTTCACCATTGAAATGATACTTAACATGCTTAACGTACATGTACATGTAATGGGGTCATTTTTCTGCTGGCAGGTGGTTCCAGATATACCGTTTCTTCACCGCAGCGAGGTGTCTATTCTGAACAGGTTGTGCATACTTGGAACACACTACAGACGCTTCAGAGAATTTATCAAGGAATATAGCGGCTCGCCAAGTAGCTCATTAGATCCATCCAGAGATGCTCCAAAAGGTAAAGGTACAATGTGTGGACAATGACAATATGTGTGTTACAATATAAAGAAAAAATGGGAATGCATGTATCTTAACAGCTGCTGTGCTTTGACTTTGTCATGATCATGTTTTGTTTTATGTGTACATAGATATATTTATGTGTGGGAGTGTGTGTACAGGTGCCAGCATATACCCTAGTGGTATGTAAACAGGTGCATACATAAATAGATGTCTGGCTTGTACTAGTGCTACATGTAGTTGCTATTCTTAATGCCAGTACGTTCCAAATGGCTTCGTACTCTAACTTGGAATTGCACCTTGGTGTTCTTCGAGTTTGGTTTGAAGGAATGCTGTACAATTTTTTTAGTAATGGGCAAGTTGTTGTTTGACCCCTTTACCTAGAGTTTCCTGTTCATGTAT